GCTTCTGTATACTTTCCTCTATACTTAATTGTACTCGTTAAATATCTAAAATTCGAACTATTGTAGGCGAATTAAATTATAATCTTTTAAATCGTAAAATATATTGAATAATACGTTAAAATTACAAGAAATGGTCCAAACATTTGGTAACTTCTTTCGTAAATGACAAAATTTAGATTAGACGTTTATATTTCTGTTTGTTAGTGAAAGTAATTTCCAAATTCCAACTGTTGTTAAGCTCTTACTGTTCAAATAAAATTTATATTTTCGACTTATATAGCTTAAATAGTGATTTGTCCAAAATAAAGTTTTTACATAACAAAATACACGTAATAAGATTATTATAAGACCTCACAAGAAACTAAGCTTTTTTATAACCCCTTCTTGAAATCACTATCTACTAATGTACAATCTACTCTTCCAAACACAACGGACTCTGGCAATTTATTATGCTCGGAGGAAAAAAGGCCTAAAAGCACAGAAAATAAACTAGCAAAAAGTGGCTCATCTTCCCCGCAACATTTAAAAATGTTGTAGTGCTATCTGTTATCATGTTTTAAATTTTCTCTGAGGGTAAAACGCTTAATTTTCAGAGTAAAATAGGGTTCTATACAAAATTATAAATGCTAATAACGAGTAAAATCGTCATTAAGTCCGCCCCTACTAAAGATATACATGACCCTCATTATTTTTTAACCCATCCACCTTTAACCACCAAAATTTAATAGTATCAATCTCCTTAATAAAGAAACGTTGCAAAATTTCAGAAATTTTTCATCCAAAAGCTTCAAAAATATAAAGAAGATATAATAAGGTAGAAGTGTGAAAAAACAATCACACAAAAAATATTTTTTGTAAATGTGCTTACATATATTTAAAGCGTAAGCTGTTCGAAAGCTTAAACCATCATCTATTAAGATTGAAGATAAGTAAATAATAGCTGATAAAAACAAACATTATAAGGTTTTTAAAACAAAATTTCTAAAAGTTGTTAGAAAAATATTATTCACCAAAGTTTGTATTCGTTGACATGCGAACATTTCAGTCTGTATTTTCTGTACAGAATTAATAGAAATGTATATTTGACATAATTAAAAGATCTTGGAACCCCAATTGTCAAAAAATTGAATATTTGATTTTTAGCATATCTTTAATTTAACCATTTTAAATACATTTTTTCAATTTCCCAACAATTATAAAAAATAAAGCCTGTCCAAAAAATAAATTTATAATAACAAATACAGTAGAACCTCGAAAACTCGACCTAATGTGGACCGAAGGGTGGCCGAGTTTGTAAAAATGCCGGGTTATCGGGAATGGGGTTAAAAAAAATAAGTACGAGTGTTTCCTCAGAAAATACTGTACTGTACTTGTATGTATTGTTTACTTGAGAATATAACAGAGAATAAACTGCCCAAATACCCTTAAACAAAGGAAAAGTACGTCCTTTATGAAGGCATAGAGCCTTTACTACATGAAAATGAAAATTAATGAATACACTGTGTA